CCCCTGCCTGTGCCTCCCCACCCGACCGCGGCCTTCGAGGGTCCCTTTGCTGCCGGGACGGTCGCAGCCAGCGCTGCTTGGTTTTGGGCGTAGGGCGTAGGACCCTGAACCGCGTCGTGACGTGAGCCGGACGGATGGTGCCTCCCGCCTGGTTCAGCTGAACCACAGTTGGGATTCTTCAGTACACTCGGCACAAGGAGCACCGTTCCTTTCTAATGACTTGGATGAATTCTTCCCTTTTTGTTTCATTTTGGAAGTTCCGTGCAGATGAAAATCCTCAAAAATGCAAATACTTGTCTTGCTGCAAGATGCACATATATGTACAAAATTGTTGTACCTGTGGGCTTGGGAGAAGCTATGTGAGACAGCGGCGTGTGGGAATTGGAAGCAGAATGCAAAAAAAAGAGAGGAAAATTTAAAAAAAAAAAGGTAATTTGGAGGCTTATGTCCTGTTGAGCTCCTTGCGAAGTTAGGAGGAGTGTTCCCAGAGTTCAGCGTTCTCATGTCTGGGCTCCTTTGGGTCACCTGCCTTTATTTATAGTTTTGGGCAGAAAGCCTTTGTATTTCTGTCTGTGTGCCTGTACCACGTATGTGCTCATGTATTTATATGTATGTATGTATATATATATAAAAATAAATCTATAACTTCTTTATTTGTCTTTCCCTCAGATTACTCCTTGACTAGTGCAGATCTGTCTGCCCTGCAGGGGTTTAACTCCCCAGGAATGCTGTCCCTAGGGCAGGTGTCCGCCTGGCAGCAGCACCATCTCGGTCCAGCAGCCCTCAGCTCTCTCGTGTAAGTACCCCCGGCGGCGTCGCGGCCCTGCGCCCGCTCGGCACCTTCTGCCTCTTCGGGCTGAATAACCTGCGCCGGGGAATGTTCAGCGCGAGGCCGTTGCAGTGTCTCGCCTGCTGGCGGCGGTGCCTTGCCTTGCAGGTCTGCTCCTTGGCCAAAGCCTTCGTGGTTGGTGCCGTGTGTCCCGTCTGTCGGTCCAGTCCTTGGGCTGGCAGCTCTGTCCCTGCAGGGACAGCTTCTTGCAGGGGGTCACCTGCGCCGTGACCGCGACTGCTCGGAAATAGGAGATGTTTCTGTTTGGCTCTAACGACTTCTGTAAATGCATTCGGACCTTTGAGTAATGCTTTTCTCTCGGCTTTGTTTCTTCACTTCAGTGAGTTGCGTTTGTTTACGTGCTCATGTGGAGGGGGCTGACCACAGGACCACACCGTCACACAGACGCGGGAATTGTCACTTTCTTTTCCTTTTTCGTGTTTTCTTATTTCTGCCTTTTGGTTTTCTTTTTCCCAGTACTGGCAGCCAGCTATCTCAGGGTTCAAATTTATCCATTAACACCAACCAAAACATCAACATAAAATCTGAACCAATTTCACCTCCCCGGGACCGTGTAACTCCCTCTGGGTTCCCGCCGCAGCAGCC